ATGTCGGACCAAAGTTTGGCACCAAGGAGGAGATGGCACCGGTGTTGGTACCGCTTTTCGTTGCACGGTGTGCATGGCTTTTCACATGATGCAGCTGAAAACATATGTGGGGTGTTAGACTTTTGTGCGGCTGGATGTGCATGCTTAGACAGTGTTTTGCTTTGATTCATGATTGATGTGTTTTTGTAATGTGCTGCTTCAAGTTCCATGTCAGCAAAAACAATATACATGAATACATGCACACGTGGTTTCTATGTTGGTCATTCACGTTTTGCATGCTTATGTCCCTATTATGGCATTATGGGTCTGTTTTTTCTACCGCAGGATCTCTTCCAATCCATGACGGATCCCTCCAATTGGGGTCGCCAAAGCCGACAGCTTTCAAGCTTCACAGTGCCGTGGAAGCAAATGGTAGACCGGGAGCCGCACAACGTGTGGACACCGTCCAGAGGGAACCGGGAAGGCCCCCCCTTTTCAGCAGAAGGTTGTCGGTTGCCGCTGGATTGTTAGGACAACTTAACTTGAGGCCATCGCATATGCCCTCGTAGCCAGCAAGAGCTATTAGACAACCGGTTCTGACAGGGTGGGCTATTAGGTTGGAGGCCATCGCTAGTAAGTAGGTTGGATGCCATCGCTTCTAGGTTGGAGTCCTCAGGACAAAGGTCACCTTGAAGTGTGAGTGCCAAGAAGTTCTCCCACGTAGGTTGTTTGGCGATTTCTGGGCGACGAGCGCCGGTGGTCGGTGATCGGGCGAGTTTTCGATTGGAAGAGGTGAAGCCAATGAGTCAATTCGAGCGGAACTTTGGAGTCTACATGGAAAAGTGACACAAGTAGGACATCTATTTATAGTTTGGCAATCTTGATGCAAGAACGCACCCAAAGAAGCCATCTATTTCCCCACTATGGACATGGACCCACCTCCACCATCCTCCAAACTATATATATATATAGTTTTCTAATATTATACTAATTACACGTTTTGTTGGCTCTAGGAACTTGACAGTGATGGGACTTGCTGTTGGCCGGACGGATCGAGGGCTGCCCTGATTAGTTTTGCTTTGCCCTTGACGGAACCGTCAGCAGCTATGTGGGAAAGGAGCCGTATGCGAATGATATCCTAGGTCCTATGTAAAAGATATTGGGAGGAAGAAAAGACTCAGGACACCTGGCTTTGGAACTCTGTTTCACCCGTGGAACTCTCGGACTCGCAGCAGACAGGTGCACATGTGGACATCGGTGCCATGTGCCCAGGTCCCAGGTGGTTTTTTGGTTTGCGCATGAAGCGACTGAGGTAGCTTCCGGCAACACCACCACGATGCCGACTAGCACTACTGAGGATGATGATGATGATGATGATGATGATGATGATGATGATGATGATGATGATGATGATGATGATGAGAGCACCACTGAGGAGCAGGTTACGAGCACTGAGGAGCAGGTTACGAGCACTGAGGAGCAGTGCAGCCAACACGGGGAAGGTGATACAGTGCAGCCCACTCCAATTAATAATCAAGGGGAAGGCCCATCCGAATGAACACTACAGGGTGCCATCCACTTCCATCGAAGGCTGGATGGTATAGTGGGTGATATTGGGAGTGGAGTGGCCTTGCCATCTCCAACCCTGCTCCTTTCGGGTCACGTAGTTGGATGGTTCCTTTTCTATATCCACTCCTTTACTCCAGTACTGGAGCAAGAAGCTACCAGTATTTACTAGTAGCTCCTGGCCATACTACTAGTAACAAGCAGCTCGGAACCAAGGGCATCACAACAAAAACCACTAGGAGAAGCTACGAACGACACCAAACGCTTCGTTCAAGTCTAACACCAACTTCAAACGGTTCCACGACGGCCACGTCGGTTTCCTCAGGACCACGACGACCACGACGACCACGACGACCATGACGACAATGGGACGGGACCCACGGACGGTGGAGCACCGCGCCTGTGCGCCGTGGGTGGCGGATTCGCGGCCCTGGCGCTGCTGACGCAGTAGCTGCTCGGAGCGTCCAGGGGGTTCAAGGGTCCAACAGCCTCCAAGCTAAGAGATCTAAGAGTGGCCTCCAACCTAAGAGCGGTTGCCACATGGCCACATGGCAGCACATCCTGGGACATGAAGGCTGATGTTGGGTGCTCCTTTGGGTTCAAAAAGTAGATGATGAGAATGCGGGAGGTGGTAAGCAAATGCAACACTGGTTGGTTGACGATTTGTTGGGTGGATTGTCGGATTGTTTTTAGCACCTGCCGGGTCACGTTGCCTTGTTGGGAGGTTAAGTCGGTGATGACGGTGAAGTACAATGTGTTAGATCCAAGTCTTGACACGGCGAACGTCGAATGCCTTTGTTACCTTTGTTTGATCCAAAGCTTCCAGGACGATCATTTGCATCCTCCAGGACCATCCCACCAGGATCCAAGTCGCTCAACAGGATGGTCGGATGGTCACAGGGGAAGTGTTTTCCACCGCTGGCGTGACCACGGGTTAGGCTGCCGCAAGCACTTCTTCCGGCTCGGCCATGCCGGACGAATTGTGGCTCGGCGGACGCCGGCCGGGTTAGGCTGCGGCGAAGAGGTGAGATACAAGCTTTGCACAGAGCCGTCGGGAAGAAAGCTAAAGAAGCATAAGTATTGTATAATAAGTACATCAGTAATATGAAATAGATCTCGACCCCGGATTAGCAACCCTGCCAGAAGGTTTGTTATTTTTTGGGGGGTCAGTCCTAAGAGGCCCCAAACGACTAAATCTCTTCAAGGTGGAGCAAGATTGGGATGAGCTTATTGGAAAGGACGGAGAGACCCAATTCATTCGGGGGTTATGAAGGATGAATGGGGGACCAAAAGGACATTGCCAGCGATATGCACCGCATGTTTATGACAGAACATGCATCCCTGTTTCTGCAGTTCCTCCTTGGACACATGGCGTCCTGAGCACGCTCATCCCAATCCCAAGTTCTGATGGCATGTCGCTCCAAACAGGTAAATCTACAACCTTAGGAAACTTAGATCACTATTTCCTGAGTGGACATAAGTGGAAACCAACCGCGGAGACTGCTTACAAAGGAGATAAGCCAAGAACTATCAAGAGCTCAGTTTTTCCCAACATCGTTTGCCCCAAAGGTATTATTTGTTCATTGCTTGAACTGAAAACTATTTTTAGGCATACCAGCTGTGGTCTCTCGCTCTCTCTATATATAATGTATATAGTGAGATTTGATGAGCAAATACATCGTCCGGCACCACGTGTGCACTGTTTGGTCTCCCGACTGGTTGTTTCGGTCTCGCTGGATCTCAGAACCTTGTAACCTCGATGGAGTGGAAGATGGCCATTTCAGGCTTTCACTCCATACTTCACTTCAGGCTTTCACTGGAAGATGGAGTGGAGGTTGGACTTTCAGGCCATTTCAGGCTTTCCATCCAAGCCCTGAGCCGTTGACCGGAGATCCCCGGCTGTTCTCCTTTTTCGTCTCCCTCCGTTGAGACTGACCCAAGCATGTTATCCTTTGGCACTGCATTCAGGCCCCCAGCTGAAACATGCTGAATGGGGGGTGAAGGTAGGTAAATGTACCATGACATGGAGTGTTTGGGTTAGATCATGTTAGAGATTCCAGACACCTGCATCAATTGATGCTTTCCCCCCAAAGCTTCTTGAGCAACTTGTCACGCCAAGAATCTGCTGACAATCTGGAAATCATGTGTCCAATGTATGCATTAATTTACCTTTCAAGACTGATTGGAATGCCTTCAGGAACTGCCATTTGAGACGCCTTCAGCACACCAAAGTCCAGGGGGGTGCGATGTGTTGAGGGTGATGGCTGGTTCCACAAATCGTTCATTCTCAACGACCTGGGAGGTCTGGTATGGCTGGTATATGGTTATATCATGTGATATCATCAAACATGTCACAGGTGGGTCGTCAAACCACCAAGCAAGTTTGGGTATATGACTCTATATTTTCCCAGTTAAGACCACAGACACCCACTGAAACATGACATCCTTCGTCGATGTTGCTTCTGTTTCTATTCAGTTCTGTAGTCAGTGGAGCCTACTGATTTGAAAATAGGAAGGAATCGACCGCATGTTGTGGCCTCCTAGCCGCTGCTAGCCTGGACGATGGTCCTTGGAAGGGAATTGGATGGTCCTTGGAAGGGGTTTCTGCAGAGGCCAACCCATATTTTTACGGTGCTAAAGTCAGGATCGTCTTCCTGTACCAGCCCTTAGCATGTCAGGATCGTGCAATTCTTGAGAGGCCCTACATGTCACCAAGCCCAACAAATGACACCTCATCCATCGCGGGCACAGCTGGATGCCAAAGTCCAAGGTTGGAGCCGTTTTCACCTTTTGGCTCCGACGTGTACCAGATGTACTACGATTGCACTGAGAGACATACTACCCCATTTGACAAGCACGTTTGCAGACGATGCGCGCAGACGGGAGAAAAAGGAGTGCAAATTGGCAAGTAGCAAGTGAGTCAAGTTGACTCTGTGAGACTCTAATGCCTACAGACCCTGAAACCACTCTAATGTAGGTATGCCAGTCCCATGGAGTGTTTGGGGGTCTGACAGTGTTTGGGTTTGGGGTTCGACTGGCTGAGTTGATGAGACTCAGGAGTCATGGAAGAGAGCTGTTCAGCCTAACTGTTGGCACTCCATCGTTGTTCTCCCCAGGTTCCCACACGAAATCATCCAATGTGGATGGCATGGCCCCGAGAGGATGACCATGAGTTTTCGCACAACCCGACGAACACATCACATGGTTACGTGGAGTTCACCCACTGGAAAGTAGAGGAAAGTCGTCTTCCAAGAGGCCATTATTCACTTCCATGTTAGTGAGTGAGTGTACCAAACAGGGTGGTGAGCTCCTCGTAACCATGAGAAGCCATTGCAGTGTTCATTCGCCGTTCGTGAAAACCACAGGGAGAGACCTCCCAAGTGGGGGGGTGCCTTTTCCATCGCGTCGCGGGGCGGCCTCCCACGAGTCCCGCGACGACCCGAGTCCTTCCCTAGGAAGTGCCTTTGTCTCAGCGGGAGTTTCAACAACTCCTACTGGAGGAGGAGCCACTTGGACTCGTGTGGAGCCACCGTGGCGCGAGTCTTTGACTCGAGGGTCTCGAGTTGCAGTGGCCACAGACCCGTGCGCCTGGTGTTGAGTTCTCGCCATCGGGAGGGGAAAGACATGGGGAACCCGCAATCACCAGGAAAGGTACCCGCAAATCTGGTCAAGTACTCTGGCCTATGTACCATGGAGTGTGGTGATCTTCCGGATTTGAGCATGATACAGTTTGGAGAGGTCCTTTGGAACGAAAAAACGGGCTAGCTTCCGCCTCCGGGGAAGCGTTACTTGCCCAGTGAACGTTCTCTTCGCACTCCAGTCGAAGAGATCCATCAAAACCGCATCATCCACACCCTAGGGCTCCAGTCGTACCTTCTAAGAAGGTGGGACTGGGGTGGGTTTAAAGGGTCCAGTCATACCTTCTGAGGAGGTACGACTGGAGCCCTAGGGACACAGGCTTGTAACCCAAACCTCACCTTTTTTTGTAAATTAGACAGCTTCTCATCTGGCTCAAGAGTCCAACGGATTGGCATGATGTGAACTAAATTTGGGTGATGGTTCGACTTGGTTTCCCATCCTATTAGTGAATGGTCCTCCCAAATGACACGTTTTTGTCTTAAATGTTGGGTTGGAGTTGGATGCTGAACCGGCGTGAAGTGGTCGGAACCATCGCATTGGAGAACACCTGAGGAGGTCGGAACCTTTAAACAATACCCTCCCGACACGTCTCGTCGGGTCCACGCGGTGTCCGAATGTTCCGGGTCTCTTCCATCGCAGTCCGGGTCGGGGCCTTTCGCATCGACCCTCCTCCCTGCCCAGTGTGGATCGCCTCTTACGTGGCATTGGTGTGGACGTTGTGGCGCTCCTGGGCCGCGCAGTGGGCGCGTGTCGCTGTGCGTCGGTCGAAGACCGACGGCGCGTCGGTTGCTTTGGGGATCTCCTGAGGATTCTTGGATGTTGGATGATGTTGGCTTTCGTGCTGGCCATTATCGGTTTTGATTTCTTCGTGCTGGCTATTATTTCGTGCCGTTGAATTTGTAGTTTGATCGGTTTTGGCTGACTATTATCGTGGGGGTCCAGTCCAAGATTCACAAAGGGTTGCTGCGTACAAAGAAGGTGTGAGTGTAACTATAACTCTCTAACTAATTGATCTCTTTTTTTGGGGGGACAGGGGGCTCCAATGTGTTCCCCCAGTTTGAGCGGAAGAACATGGAGAATCAAGTGAGGAACGCCCAGCTTTTGCGGCCTTGTCCTGGTAATTGAACCATCAGAGTTGCTCATGGTTTTGAGGTACCCAGACACGACACATGGGACTACCATAGATGCCGAAAAACGGCCAGGGGTGGTGCCAGAGGGGTCTTTCTGGGGCGGCAGTCCTATGGCAGTCCCATTAGTCGTGTTTGGGGTAGGTGATGGTGATGGAGTTGTGGACAAGAGCCACAATCCTAATCAGTTGCTCATCAGTGAGTCCCATGCACTCGCCCATGTATAATCCAAATGCACTGTCCTACGTCATCAAACAGGAATCTGAGCGTGAACGGTTTGTGAAGGTGAGATGATAAGAAGCACAAACCACAGGTAACCACAACCACACCCGGATCCATATTCCATCCAGTCAGTGGATAACCTTTGAACCTCTGGCGATTGGGACACCCCACTAAATATGGAGAAATGGAAGAAAGGTTATGTATACCAGGACCTTCCAAGTCCGCTTTTTGGACACCCCGAATCACCTCTTTCCGGCTATTCAATGGACACCTCAGAAGGTGCCGGTGCTGGTACTGTATAACCTTTACGGAAACGGCTCGGGAGCCGCATCTCCGAACCGTCGAGCCCCGACCGTCTGGGCTGCTGTGGAGCTCACCTGTCCAGCACCCTTTCAGTAAATATATGATGTATATATATACCTAGACCCCGCAAAAGACGTATTTTTTTCTGGTGAGGGCAATTTTCAGGCGAAGCTCAAAAACCCACACAACAAACAGTTTTGGTGTCGATTTTTGTTACTTCTGCGTTGTTTTTTGTCACTTCTGCGTCATTTTGGCGTCATGTTTTCTATCGCGAATTTGCTGCATGTTTCTGCGTCATGTTTTCTGGCGAGACGGAAAAAAAGACATCGTTTCAGGGTCCAGGTATATATATGTATGGATCTTCCAACTGCGACATGTCTACCTTTTCATCTGCCAAGAGGCATAGGGAATTTTGTTAGTTGGAAGATCCAGGTGTTGTATGTGCACATGCAAATAAACAGTGTGGGTATACTGACCCTCCCAGACAAGGAAAAGAAAGACTATTCCTTGCCACTTCGTGTTTTTTGGTTTCCAAGACCGAAAGGCTGGTTCTGAAGTCGGGAAAGCCGCGCCATTTCACACTAAACGGGTGGGAATTCCCAAACCGGTGCGCCTTGAGGCTGGTGGATACTGCCGATGCGCGGGTCCCAAGACCTTTGCAAAACGCCCAAGCAAGTGTTCTTCGGCACGTCAAAAGACCCCGGTGGCGGAGAACCAAGATCTTCCAACAGCGTTTTGTGGGTTGTGATGTCAGGGGCAGTCATGGGTAGTGTATGTGCTGGATTGGGGTAGGCTCAAGCTCACTCACATTCTTGGATGGAGCACTTCTTGGTTTGCTAGAGCGCTCTTCCTGGTGAAAGGCTTCCCCCCACCGAGTGCCAAGCCGAAAGGGGGGGTGCTTGCTAATTTCTGGTAAGTCCCCAGATCTCAACCTTGAGGAGTTGGAATCCTAGTGAGGCGAACGTCAAGAGATGGGTGTCACCACTCGGCAGCCTCCCAACCCACGTGTCTTTTGAGTCAAGTGTTGATGATTTTTGATGGCGGGATGCATGTTAATAATTATCTCTAGAGCTCCAAGTACCTCTCAGAAGGTGGGACTGGGGTGGGTTTAAAGGGTCCAAATACCTTCTGAGGAGGTACTTGGAGCCCTAGGGTATATGACATAGAGTGATTTCTGGGGGCCCCCTAGGTATGTCCTCCTTGGGGTGTCTCACACCCATACCATTGAAACACAAAGGTGCTCAAACTATAGCACAACCTTTACGTACTATACCAGGTACGCCATGTGTGGCATATATGCCTACATTGGCCCCTGAAACGAGCCAATGTAAGTGAATATACCATATTTGGAGCGTTTGGGATTGGATGCCTTCATATGAGATGAATGACACATGATTGTACATGTAGGTCTGGTCCAATTGGGGATTGTGGATGAGAAAGTGCTTATAACTATAGGCGCAGGTATAGTTATATGCTATTTATACCAGGACCTTCCAAGTCCGGTGCTTTTTGGACACCCCAAATCACCTCTTTCCAGAGGGTTGTGAATAGACACCTCGGCAGGTGCTGGTATAGGCTATATCATAATGTCCGTGCCTGGAGGCCCATCCAGTGCGTGGAACACCACCCTGGGCAGGCACTCCCCCGACCGACTGGAACTGGAAGAAGCTTTGCCATTTGCAGATCGCTTCTGCAACGACCAGGTCATCTATGAGGACTTCAACAAGTTTGGCATGAGTGGCCTGACCTCAAACAGATTGCGTGTTGCCGCACATGTATGTTGCACCCCCTCCGTTGTGGGCGGAGGTGTTCAGATTTTGATCCAAGAAGAAACGGTTTTTTTCTGGTCCTGCCCTACTTTGCCTTTGGGTTAGATGACTCGCGGGTGGCAGCTGCGGATGCTGTTTCTGTTTTTCTTTCAGGTTTGCAGACGAAACCGCTAGCGTTCAGCAGCATTTTGTTACGCAAATCAGAAACCCACAGGCGAAACAGACGGTCGAGCAGTTCATCGGGAGTCGTAAAACCCAATCCTTCACAGCCTCCAATGGATGCCACCTCTTGAGGTGTACCTGACAGGCCCCCGGGGGTGAGAGGTGGTCTCCAATTCTGGATTGGTGTTTGCATGGGATGAACAACACGTTAAACAAGTTAAAACATCACTTTCTATACAGTTGAGGATCATTCACGCTCCCCAAAATACATTCTCCTTTATGGATTCTTCATGCAAACCCTTCGCCCTCCGAAAACCAGGGGCTCCGATATCTCCGATGCATGGCGCGAAGCACCGCACCGCCCGCGCCCGGACGGCCAACCGGGCCGTCTCGCTGCTTGGAAGGCATGACTTTCGAGAACTTGGTGGAGACCATCTTGAACTTGCGCGGAAAGAACACCGCCACGGTCAAGGACCGAGGGCGGTCTCAGGGCGTACCGGTTGAACGGTTGGAGGTGGGCGGGGTATAAGGATTCAGGTGGTCTACCGTAGGTAGGGTGCAGGAGAAAAAGCTTCTTGCAGGTGTACAGGTCATAGCAGGTCTTGCACTTAGACCCCATCATGTACAGTGTTCTCGTGTCACATGCAGTTGTTCTTGCAGTCGTTGAGTTGGTTGAATAGTGTCGTGCGACAACATTTGACAACCCTCCAAAGATATATCCTGGAAATTTCTCCACTCTAGGGGATTGTCTTCCAGACGCCACTAGGATGTTGGTTGTATGCAATTCTGGACGCAATGTAGCTGGAGGGTATTGAATTGCCTTTGGATGCCTTTAACATATTATTTGCCTTGTTGTTTTTTCCAACTGCAGACCATGCATCACAGATCATACAGATCATCATATACTGGCATAATCTAATGATGTGGACAGCTAGCAGCTAGAAGGAGCTGCAGCTACAGGTAAGCAATATATACCTCCTCCAATCCGGGTTTTCTGAAAAGCACATGAGCCCCAAAAGACTACACGATTCGTTGATTAAGGATGGAAGTTCAACATTTGGTGGATCACTTGTGTATACACCTTCTTGGTTCAGCACTGGTATCCACCACGGCATGTTTGGATGCAGCTTTGCGGCCTGACCATGTCTGCATGCATCCCCATAAGCCCCGCAACTGGGGAAACTGACGGCCTTCGCCATTCGCCAGTCGACTTTTAGTCGCGGGCCGCCCTCCGTCGCACTCGGACGCCGGAGTTCGCAAGCGGACACGAATGATGCGCAGCCAGGATGTGAAAGAGCAATCCAGAGTCATCAAGGTGCTCCGTAGTGGGACCGCTGGTCGCTGGTCGCTTTGCTCATTCTCCGGACCGTGAATTTGACCGGAGTGGGCCTGGGCCAGAAGTTCCCAAAAGCCCATGGCTTCTTTGTTTGCAATCTGGTTTTTCCACGGAATTGGGCTTTGGAACCAACATAAACCAACCAACTCCCCAGACTCTGCTTGACTCCGCAGCTCGCTCAGCCGCCCTCAGCGCAGCTCTCTGCCCCGTCAGTCCGTGGTGCAACAGACCCTGCAAGCGAATGGCTCGAAGGCGGGGAACGGTCTCGGTCCGGGGAGTTGGGATCCGTTGATGTCGGTGTATTGATTCAAGGTGGAATCCGGTTCTCAGAGGCGCAACATGGCACCAACTGGTAGCACCCCAAGACAGTCTGTCTTAGAATTCATGAGTTCAGGGAAAAAGAACTCCAAACTTGGGGGATTGTACCATCTGCTCTCAATCCACCAGCACTAAACCCCTTTAATTTCAGACATTGTTTGGGAGGTTTGTGACAGATTTTCAGATGATCTGGAGATCGTTTGGAATGCGGCTTCCCTAAAGGTATTGTTTTGGACAGAGTTGGACGAGATTCCTGCGGAAAGAAGGAGGGCGTGTTTCCAGTCCAGGCACTGATAGAGTGTGAGGGTTCTTCTTCGGTGCAAGACGTCGACCTGGGCCTATAGAACTGAGCTTTGTGCAGGTCGATGCCATCCACACATCCACTGGCCCCAAACCCATCTAAACCTAGACCTTTTCGCCATTTCCAGCCATTTCTGCCAGAAAAATGAGGAAGACAACACCTCCGCATGTTCCTCGGATTTGGATTGGGCCCCGTCACCTCGGACGCAGGTCATGGAGGAGTTTCAGTACCTACGCGCCTGGCCCTGGCCGCATCAGCAACGGAGTGGGGCAAAGCCAAGCTGTTTCTTTCACCCTAGCTGGAAGAGACCCACATGGAACCTGAAAACCTTCCGGTTGTAGAGAAAAATCGTCTTCCAGTCTGGTCCATGCCAAGCCCGACTTGAGACTGGATTGTCCAAAACAGGACCAGACACCCCTCTGCATTTCTGCATTTCTGATTTGATTTCTTTGGTTGCCCTCACCTTGTTTGTCTCTTCCGGGTCTTCGAAGCACCTTCAGACCTTCTGAATCCACAGCACGCCGGCGACTTCTCAAGATGGAACTGTTAGGATGACATAGGAAGTCAGGACGCCAAAGAAGACCAATTTCACTCTCTGGAACTAACATGGAAGTGGAACACCTCCTGTTTTTCGAGGAAGATGTTCTGAACAAGGGGCCATGCCATCCACATCCATTCTACTTCCAGGGAGAGTGGTGTTCATATTGCCTCAGGTGCGCAAGTGACTCAGTCATGTGTATACTTGTTATGCCAGTGCCATGGGCGCCCAAGGCGCCACCCCAAATGACAATGCCTGGCAGGCTACTAGACAGGGTCTGTTGGACACTGTCAGATGACCTTTGGGCTTCAAACCAATGTCTGCCTCAATGGCACAATAGGTGACGTGAAAGTTGGATTATGGATTTTGAAGTGCCAGTTATCCGCTTCCGTCTAATAGATCATCGATCTGAGATTAGCCCTATATACCGTACATTCCATGTTGGCAAATACGACTTTCTCTCCGGTGGCTTTATGAATGCAGAGTCAGAATATGGATGTGGGTCATTTCACCCGGAGCCCCGGTGCACCAGCCGATACACCGGTGCTTAAACCTGAAAACACTTTACAGAGCCGCCGCTTCAAAACTCGTGTTGACAAGCTACGCCGATATCTCAGAGCTAATAGGGACTTTACCACTTTCGATCCCTGACTGAACTTACATCCTTTGCGCCCATGAGATGCTATGTTTTCATCACGCCCTAATTCGTAGCTGCTAAATTTTGTCATGCTCTTGCATATCCAAGTTCATGCTATCCATAGATGTGGCCTAACCGTCTTTGGGTTAATTCGCACAGTACATACTCTCTCCTGTATATGCGGTTGTTATCTTGCATGTATTCTCACATTGTCTTTCATACCCGTTCACAACAGCAAGGGGTGCAAAGATCCACAGCGTTCGTCCGCGGGTTCGAGCCCCAAACCGCCAGGGGTAGGTTGACCTCCGGTAGGTTCATTCTGTTCATTTTCTCTGGTCAACCCAGCTTCAGACCAGAGAAAACATCAGAAAACCAAGACCCTAAACCCTAAACTAAACCCTAATAGGTTTTAGGGTTTAGGGTTTCTCTGGTCTGAACAGACCTTCCTTGGAGATGTTCCCGCCTTAGATGGCCATCCAAGGTGCCGAGTTAGCACTCCTGCGGGAGGAGGCACTGCGGCGGGCCACCTGGCAGCAGTTCAGCGAAAAAAAAGGAACAAAGACACGGAGGTTAGGAGGAACCCTCCTGCCCTGCAGAGGAGGGGCACATGGAATTCTCAAAACCACTGTTTAAGGTTACTGTAGTGGTTTTCCACCATGGGGTCATTGTCAGGGTCCATGGGATCGTATGCAGGGCGGTCATGGAGTCGATGACTGAAGAAGGTATTGATTGGACCTAAGACCTGCAAGAAAATAAGTTCGATCCGATCCATTGGCAAGCTATTACATTTACAGATCTATGCCTGTGTGATGTTTTGTCAAATAGATGGTTGTTGGGCGAATGACGGTCCTTGAGCAGACAGGTTTAGATGGTGGCCTTTCGGTTTTGGAATCATGGCCGGTCAAGAATGGTACTTTAATGTATTTCATATACTGTACCATTTGTACCTCCTCGCATTTGGGATTTGATTGGTTTAGCGGTGGATCTTCAATGTTGGATATCATTTGGGTTGTTTTTGGTAGATGTCGCGAGGATAGAGAAAGGATTCATGACATCACTTGCGGGAAATCTGAAGATCCGGTGTTGACCAGGGCCAAAGTCCCCTGCTATTTGGGTGTGCACACTACATACACAAAGAAATGTTAGGTTTGAGGTCCAAGATTTCTTCAATCGACTCCGCCACCTCCCATCCATTGGCACAGGTAAGATTTGATTTGATATGATTTGATGGTTTGTAATTTTTCTTGTTCAGGAATGATCCGGAATTCTGGCACTCCCAGAGGATTTTGTTGCCAATTTTGCCCAAAAAGTAATATCCTGAATAGGTTGCTCCTGAAAAAAAGCGCTCGTCCAGTAGCTCCAAGGCACCCACTTTGGATTTCTATCTATCTTGGCATGGAAAAAGGCATAAGATGATTTAATGTGATGTGTTTTTGGACCTGTGGCAGTTTCTCCCAAAAGCCCTTGGAACACTAGGCTTGGCCAAGTCTTCAGTATGTCAGCATGTGGCTTTGCAAATACTTGGAGGGCATCACTGACCAGCACCCTTGGGTTTCGGGGGTATCGACTTCTGTGGTCTTCACGCCACGCCGCACGTCGCGCCGCAGGATGAAGATGACGAGGATGAGGCAAGACCTCCGTTGACGCCTCATTCTCAAGATGACTGGCCTTCTCCGCGCTCAGAGGGGTGGTTGGAGGTCTCTTCCCACCAAAACTTCAAAGACCAACACGACATGTGAAAGGGGAACCATAGGCAACCTGTGCCAGTGAGTGTTAGTGTATTTTTGGGGGAGTATTTGGGGATGTCACCTGTAGCCGGTGAAAGGCCACAGGAGAAGTCGGACGTCGTGTGCGAGTTTCTCGGGGGCCCCCCACGTCATGTGGATCACCTGCCGACCAGGCCATTGGACACCTGCCGTCGTGTGAGGGACTCTTGCCATGCCTAGGGTCCTGCATTTACCTGTTATTCCCCTTCCGAATGATTAGCATTGGTGGTCCCATGCCGTCACGGTGACTTGACGGTGGAACGCTGTGGAACCCCTCACCCACAGCATATCAAAGCATCTAGGAAGTGTTTACAGTTTACAGAGTGACAGCACCCAAAGCGTCCTCTATAGAACATCGGAATTTTCTCCCTTTGCCCAGTAGGGGCTGTCCTAGCTTTTTGTATTTAGGATGATGAAGTCGCTGGAAGTTTTATGGGCAAATTCCTGAAACACTGCCATGTTCCTAGCAAAGAAATATCCCTGCCACCGTTGCTACCCTTTAGGAAACAATCCATAACAATCCAACACGGTGCAGACTTCGCCATGTTGGTTCACCTTGCTCACTTGCGCCGCGCCAGGATTACAATTTGCTACCTGTGGAGACCGCCGAGGTCGAAGTGCAGGAGAGACCGGTGGAGACGGAGCAGATATTTGGTCCCTCGCCTGACAGTCAACTGAGGGTGAGCAGGGGGGCCTTCTCAAGGCATGAGATGGGGAAGTCCCAAGTGAAACCAGTTTGTTACCCAATTGACCCAGCACTCAGGTATGGGTTATTTTGGGTTCTTGTTGGGTCCAGCCGGAATCAGAATCGCTAGAGGAATCAGTTTGGGAATGTGGGAATCGAAGGTAGGGACCTGCGACGACTGCGCCTGATCCTTCAAATGCTCGCCTCGAAAAAGAAACAGAATTGTTGTATGTTGTCCGCTTCCAGGATTTCTTTTCCAGGAGGCAGGAACCAGCAAAAAAATCCATCCCACACGCTCCATGCGTTCTTATGGCCATCCCCTCCATCGCAGGATGTGCAGTTTCCCCGAGTCGACGAAGTGGATGAAGCGACGGAGGAAGCTCCGGAAAGGACGCGAAGAAGCTCAACGGGCCGAGAGCTCGGTGAGCACTGAGTTGAAGCTGCAGAGCACTCGCAAGCATGGACAAGTATAGACAGCGAGGCCAGCCATTGATTTGTCAGACGATATCAGACTTGTCATTGGGAAAATTGATGAACATCGTTGGTGTAGGGAAAGCCTTGGTCGGCGCGGAAGATGTGAAGGTGCCTCCTGGAAGAGGTCCACAAGGTATAACTCCCCAAGGGCATCCGAGGTCCAAGAGGCACAGAGTCATTCGAGTGAAAAAGGCTTGATTCATTGGCGGAGAGGGACATCCATGTAAGCACCCTTTTCAGCCAAACATATGAAGTATTTGCCGAGGAGGTGGGAAAACTGGTGAAGGCAACCTTCTCTAGGTTGGATGCTCCAGATGTAAATCAAAAATGAAGCCAACCTTCTCTAAGTTGGATGCTCCAGATTTAAGTCAAAAACATTACAAATCCCTCAAGAGCATTCAAGAGCAAGGGATTTGTTGATACAAGAGTGGGTGTTTGTGTGTATGTGTTTTAGTAATTAGCGCTGTTTGCGTCCTTCTTGTTGGAAGGGGGTGATTGAACATGTGGCCAAGAGCCACCATACAGCGGACCTGTGCGAATGCATTTGCTATTGGTGTGGTTGGATGGAGGATTAACATGTCCAGCGTACATGTACAGCTAGAAGCAGCTACCCCACCCGACCTGTACAAGAACTATGATTTGGGAACAGGTTCCTTTTATCCAAGGACCCTCCAGTGCGGCCGGGTCAATGGTGCATTTGCCAGTGCTAATCAGGTGAAATGAGGTGAACCTGGAATGGGCGTTGTTATTGACGCATTTCTTGAGACTTGACTTTGGTAAAGTGTGGCTTTACTTAGCTCGGAACTTTCTCACCAAAGAAGGTTGAGACTGAGGACATCCAATTTGAACGGATGGTATGACGCAACAATCACCCAAGTGTTGCTCATGTATTGCTGATCTGGACAACCAAAATGCATTTGGTCTAACAAACTGGCAGAACCCGTGAACCATGAGCAGAACCTTTGGACCAGGTGGTCACGGTGGTCCCACCCAAGATTTGTGATTCGCTGTTATTGGGCCCATTTCAGCATGTTCATGCAGCTCACGCCTCTCCAAAACCCATGGAGAACCTGGCCGCTGCAACTCAGCGCACCTGAGCACGTGCCAAAATGGCCAAGGTTCGGAACGTGAAAAATACGACGATAATGCAAGCAACATGCTGCAGGAATCACAGCAGCACATGGTTGGTCATGTAACCCTTTTCATTGGTTGCTATATAGTTGCCGTATAATTATACGGAAATTGTATTTATTAGACATGATATGCTGATGTTTGCCGTGGACGCATCAAAACAGCCAAAGCTGGCACGCTTTATCAGCTTTGAGGCGTCCGGGTGGTGGCTCAAAGCTTGAATATTTTTGTTTTGATGTTCGGAGTTTGGATTCCTTAGTAGGGGTCTCCTTTTTACCGGCCTGTTTCTCGGGCTTGACCCTCGACACGTCCATAGGAGCTGCTGGAGAAACCCTCCCAGAATCCACAAGGGGTGCCTGCAGTGGCAACCGCACAGTGCCTGTCACATTGTTTTCAGCTACAAGATTTGATCCGAGTTTGTGCGAGTCGCATGAACACTGTCCAGGCAGGTGAAGTACCCTTTTTTTTTCGGCTAGCGGCCTGCTGTATGTAGGTTTGTAGTTCAAGTATAAAGATACAGGTAAAACAGGATTAGAACTTAGAACCTCTCTCTATTTTTCAGGGTCCCAGTTGCTAGGGCGGAACATCACCCAACCATGAAGATTCTGAGTTCCTGCACAAGATTCCTCGGAGTTGGTGCATCCTCCGCGGACATTTGAATTGCGAATGTGCCCGGGGGGGGCGGACTGGACTGGGTAGAAAAGAGATGAAGAGACGCGCAGAGACAGTTCTTTACTTGGCGTGCTTGCCTTCTTA